TCGTTCACATAAATAGTGAACAGAAGAGGACCCAAGACGGTTCCCTGCGGAACGCCATACGTAACTTCCTGGAAGTCACTGACTACCGAGTTCATCTCAACGCACTGCCTCCTATCCAAGAAATAGCTCCTCATTATGTCAAGTTCTTTGTTTTTGAACCCAAGATTTTGCAAACAGGAGAACATTTCTCTATGACAAACGGTATCGAAGGCCTTGGCAAGATCGACGAAGACGCACACAGCTGGTTTTTTATTATCAATCGCTTCATATATTTTGGCACTTATGTAAGCTAATGCATCTTGCGTCGATCTGCCCCCCCGGAAACCGAATTGTCTATCACTTATCACTTTATTCCTTTCAAGATAGGAAACGATGCGTTCTTTGAGAATTTTTTCTAAAATTTTTGACAAGCTCGAGAGCACTGAGATAGGCCTGTATTTACTGACATTTTCCTTGTCTCCAGATTTAAATATGGGTCTAATTTTAGCTAATTTCAAAGATTTAGTTATTAAAATAATTTACTATTTGCTGTTTGTCTGTGCTAGGACCGTTTTCCGTACTAATCTGTTTGATCTCGCTATTTTTTGTTTTATTTTCAAGTTTGTTTAATGTTAACCATAAGTTCTTAGGACAGTCTTTATTTTTTTTAATTTGATTTTTAAAGTAATTAATTTTTGTGCTTTTTATCAATTGATTCAACATATTTCTATAGTTTTTATAGTTTTCAAAAGCTCCCATATTATTTATGTCGCTTTTATATTTTTTGTACAACATATGTCTTTTATTTATTGAGGTTAAAAGTCCGTTAGTTATCCAAGGAGTGCGTTTATACTGGGAGTGATTTATTTTAATGACTGTTTTGCACTGGTTAATACTATTGTTAAGGATATTATAAAAAATATGCAAACTTTGATCAGCACAGTTACAATTGTAAATATTGCTCCAAGATGTACTTCCTAAAATGGTTTTAAGCTTTTTGTGGTCTATATAAGTTTTTGTACGAAAATGGTTACTTTTGGAATGATCTCCGATAAGATTTGGAGTCAGAGACACTTGTAATATTGTGGGATAGTGATCAGTAATGGGTGTTTGCAAAACCATTGGTTTAAATTCAAAATTTGTATTTTTAAATTTAACGAAAATGTGATCCAGACACGATTTTGACTCTTCTCTGGTAATTGAGTTTATAGTTGATTTAAATCTGTTGACAGAGAGAATATTTAAGTATTCGTTTAGATGGTCATCATTTTCGTCTAGAATGTCAAAATTTAAATCTCCCACTAAGATTTCTAGGTCCGAGTGACCGCTTTTTTCTAATAGAAAATCGAAAAGGTTATAATTAAATTCCTCTTTGCTTAAAGATGGTGATCTATAGATTGAAAATATCTGAATTGTTTTGTTATCCTGAACTATTCTTGTTTGTATAATTCTAATGTTACCCATATTTACAATGGAACTCTCATGATTCAATGCCTGCTTTAAATAAATGACCACACCATCACATTGGTTTATTTGGCCATCATTGTAAAAAGTATCGTATCCAGGAATACTTAATATTTCAAGTCCCAGAATTTGACGGGTCTCCGTTAAAACAACACAGTCAAACATGCATTTATTTATACTAGCCAATAAAACTTGCAGTTCAGGTAGATTTTTATGTAGGCCTCTAATATTACTGTGAAATAATGAGAAGTTGTTCAAAAAGTTTGTATCCAGTAAGTTGTTACATTCCGATATGTCTTTGACACATTTTGTTTCAAATGAATCAATTCTAAATTCGTGAATGTAAGCATCCATTTTCAAAGATTAACAATATTTACACACAAAGTAAATTTAATAAACAGTCTATAAGAGTTAAAAATCAAAATCAGATATATAAAATATGTAAAAAGGATATAAAGTTATTCTTTTTTAAAAACTTACCTAATTCAAAATAATAATAAAACAAACACGGACCAAAATCAACAAAAGTTCATGAACATAAGACCAAGCAAACACGCATATTCTAAAAAGACAAAAAAAAATAAATAGTTAAAAATTTCGGTTTATAATCACAGTTCGAATCACAGTTTATTTCTTTGCTTTTGGTTGAGTAGGTTTGGCTGGGGACTTTGAAGTTACCACTTTCGCAGGCTTTTTTTCCACCCTCTTTGTTTCTTCCTTCCTAGTATCCTCTTTATCTTTGTTTGATTTCCTTGTAACTGGTCTTGTAATCTCAGTCTTTTTTATATTTTGTAATGTTGGGTGTTCCAGCACAGGTGTATAATTAAACACTTCTTCTTCGTCTTCTTCACCGCTTGAATTGTATGTATTTTTGTTTGCTCTTAAGGGCGTTGGAGTTGCAGGAGCACTGCTTGACTTGTTTGTTATGTTTTCTTGCTCATTTACCTCCGCGGCTGGTTCTTGTTCTTCTAGTGCCTCCTCACTGTACCTTTCACCATTTACGTATAGGTAAACGCCCCGAATATGCGCCTTGTTTCCTTTTTCTATTGCTGTTTTTTTGTGCTTTACTAGGACTCTTCTGATGCGTCGTTCCTCTATTGTAAGATCCTCGGATATGCTAATATTTGAGTTTTTCAATTTTTTGCACTCTTTAAGTACTTCAGATTTTGTTAAGAAGGAAACAAATCGCACTATTATGGGGCGTGGCGCATCCCCTTTGCCCATAGGATTGATATTGTTACAAAGGGCAAGCGTAAGGCTTAAACCAAGTGCTGAATTGAGGGTCGAAATAACAAGTTCTGGTAGGTTTACAGAATCATCATACTCTAGGTTCCAAACAATGATATTGTTTTTCTTTAGAGTCCTCTCTACAATTTCATTGGTTTCCTCTTGTTTTGTTTGTTTTCTTTCTAATTCCTCCCTTTTCTTGCTCTCCTCCTCAACAGCCTTTCTAACTTCCGCAACTTCCTTCTTCACTTTTTGTACTTCAGATTGAATTTCAGCTTTTATAGTTTCAGTTTGTGCAGCATTTGTACTTTTTATAAACTCCGTTAATCGGTCATACAAATCGTTTTCACTCATGTTCGATTCAAGTAGGTATTAGGTATTTAGTGTATGGACTCCTATATTTACTGATATGTCCTTGATCCGTGTGGCGCGGTAAGGATTGATTTCTTTACATTTTTATTTACACTATTTGTTTTATTATTTATATGTGATTTATGTATAAAACTTGCCAGAAAATTTGTATCACCGGATTCGTATTTTTATAAACTACACAATTAACCACTTTTTATGATTTAATTATCATTATTTTCCCCACAATTACTCGATATTTACGGAGCGTTTTTTTTTTTAAGTGTACAGTTCTAATACAGCGGGCACAACGTTACCATTCGTACATACTGTTCTTTGACAACCTGAAGACCCTTTACGTTGACATAACACACTACCAGCGCGAAAAAATTTCTTTTTTTGAATGTTGATTGTCCAAAATTAGGGGGTCGACTTGGACGACCAGCACGTTTAAACGTTTAAACGATTAACCCAAGGCCCTAGTGAGGCCCCAAAATCTAGTCAATCCAGGGTCCAAAATCTCAGACCACGCACTCGAAAAAGTCTATAGACTTTATGAACAGACTATAAAAAATTTAAAAAAAAAAAAAAAACAAGGAGCAACAACACAACACCTAACAAAATTGAATCAGTTACTTGTCATGGTCATTTATGTATTTCCATGGAAACAGTTACATATTATGATATTATGTGCCCCATGCGGCGAAATGCGGTATTTACTGGACAATAATTTCCAGGATTTTCTCATAGTCACTTTAGTCAAGAAGTCCCCTGAATTTCCATCCCTTAAGCTTCTGTAATGTTGACGGTCGCCAACCTTAAATGAAACACCCTGTATATAGTTACCCAACTTTTTTGTTGATGGTATATGTTGATTGATTGAGTTTTTAGAAAAAATATTTATCTTCAATAATTTACCATGTATAACCCATAGCAAAAACATTTTTGTCAATTTAAATTTAGATAAAGATTAAATCATCAACGGTATAAAACATGTTTCTTCATCTTCATAGTCTAGAAGGCTTTCGGTAATTTCTGAATTTGACACCTATGGATGTCATATGACCAAAAGAAGTGACGCGACTCGTTACATTGCGAAGCTATTTTCGTGAGTGCTTTTCCTTTTTGGTTATGTACAAAATAATATTTTAAAAGAATCGTATTCCGTTTATTTAACAATGTTAATTAGGTAATATCGTGGCGTTATGGGTTTTTGACTTTCATCAAACTCAGCGCCAAACCAGTTTTAATTCTATATCTACACTGCACTTGCCATATCCTTTAGTCATATTTTTTTATAACTTCATGAGTTTGTAAGTCAAGGTGAAGGAATCAGCGAAAGTCAATAACACTTGCTTTAATTTTACCATTAAGAATGGTAGCACTTAGCATTCGTGCCAATTATTTTATGTTGAATAATTCGCGCGATATACCGTTGGCCCTATTTATATTTACCAAGTCATCTTTAATAGCATCTTGCACAATTACGTCAATTACCGGTATAAAACGTACCTATTTAATTTCTATATTCCCGCGACAGCCTGTTACCGTAGCTCATTTATAACTGTATCACGATAGTATTTAATTACCATCTAATGATTCACTTTATTGAAATGGAAATTACTTTTATGAACAATAGCGCACCTAAATTTTTATTACACTTAAATTATTGCAGCGAATTGTTTAAATATATCTTTTTATTTGCAATTTTTGTCACCTTTTTTCCAAATGTTTCAACAAAAACAAATAATCACCAGAAAAGCTCCCGTCTTAACTTCGCTTTTATCCGTGATGTTCTGAAAATATCAACAATGAGCATAAATTTACAAATAGTTCAATAGTTTTTTTTATTTATTTTAAACCTTCCTCCAGTATACTACACATTAGTATTAACTAAACAGCTTCAGAAGTATGTATTTTGTGTTCCGTCATGTGCAGTGATTTATTTTAGTTTTGTTCAATTGTAATTTTTTGTTGAAATAATGAATTTGAGAGCGGTAAGCGCAGGCTGTTTATTATTGCATTCAATTTCAACTTGAAATTAACCAGTTTTGATTGTTTTTATTGGGCCATTTGAAACGAAGAAAGCAAAGTATACACGTAGATTTGCCTTCCGTCCTTGCATATTCCGATCTTTAATTGCTTCGTTTAGGGTTCCCTCATGCGAGATTTTCTCTCCCAAATATTTTTTTGCCGTGCTTTGCGTTGTTCTCCCTGTATTGTCATATATATATTCTGTTTTCGTCGGACTCACTTCACCTTGTTTCTCGTATTCCTCTATCAATTTACGTATCATGTACTCTATAGGTCATCATAATCCTGTGCAATAAATACTTGGTCATCTGCAGAGCTTTAGAGTATATAGGCATTGGGCGGTGTCCCATGTGTCCTGATTTCTTTTTCAACCCCTTATGCGCTTGTTCCTAGTAGTATCTTTTAAAAAGTGTTGGTAGCTTTGTTTTGTTTTCACCCTTGATTGTTTCACTAAGAACTAGTTCGGAATCATTCCGCACATGCGCATGTTATAAAAAGTGTTTACGTTTTTGCAGAATCGTTATCGAACTGTGGTGACAGTATTTTGGATTATTTAGAACCATATAAGAAGTTTGTTCTAGAACGGTTCCCTCAGTTCTTGGTCCGAAGGAAGAACTGTTTTAGAATGATTTGCGGCTTGTTTTGGTTTTTTTGGTTCAGAATCGGTTCAGAACTAGTATTAGAACAGTCCTACATTATTTTTTGTGCGCAAGCAGTTCTGTACAATCCCAGAACCATGTAAAATTTCGAACCAAACCAAAGCTAATGATATGCAGTATCCTTTTGAAAGTCATTTAGTTTCTGAATCTCTTCCTGATTAGGCTACCCTGTTTAATCGTGGTTTTTGCGTCACTATAGAGCATTTATTTTAACTTCCTTTTTTAGATCCAAAATTAGTAAAAGTGTTTATTCATACCCCAATTTCTTTTCTATCACCTGGGTCAAACTAAATAAGTGGTCTACTATTGATCTTCCTGCTCTAAGACCCGCATGTTCTTCTGCCTCAATCTTTGAGCTCGATTCCTATTTCGGTCATATAGGTACCCTGCACAACGTATTTGTCACTAGAATGCCTCGGTGATTTTCGATCTGTTTCTGTATTCTTTCTCATATATCGTTGCTAAAAAGATTATTTTCCACTCTTCCGGTACTTCATGTCAAAGATAATCAATGCATATTTGGAATAGGTTTGTTAGTTGTTTATAAAGTTTACTGCTCCCATGTTTTATCAGTTCATCCTATATTGGACCTGGCGCTCTTCCATTTTTGAAAAAACTACAGTAGGTATTTCTTAACTTCCTAAATTCTTCCTTTATAACTCTTATAAATGATTCTGCGGTTTTAATGTTTCGTGTCTGTTCTCTTTCTTCTTCGCTGTTCTGTCAATAATTCTTCGAAATACTTTTCTGATACATTTTTTGATAGATGCATTATTTTAAATAGAGAAATTGACAACTCAATTTATACCAAGAAACACATTTCTCAATATAAGTGCATTGTTATCTTAAACTGACAAACATATTACATTATATAGAATAGAGAAAATGACGAAATGAATATAAAGTTATTCATAACTTCTCCTTTAGAAAACGGGATTTTCTCAGAAAGCGAACATAAGTTTCTTTCGATGGGAACTAACGATAATTCTAATGGAAAACTAGAAGTCTCCAAATAAAATTATTCGGGTTATTTCGATAAGTAGGTATAAAAAAAATAAGCATCTTTCTTTGAAATTAATTTTATTTTAATTTCAAATTGCAGCATTTTGTAATAGTTCCGTTGAGATAAAATATTTATTTATGTCATAAGGTCAAGAAGTGGCGTCGGCCTTGAAACGTCGAGCTCACCACAAAAAGACCTCCTGGGCCGAATGGCATAGGTACAACATTTTATCTTCAAGCGACTGCAATATTACCTCTTCCACAACTATTAAGTACTTTGTTTTATTTTAAATTATCGTTTATTTACTAAAAGCCCTATCTGATAAACTGTCAGGTATGCAATCTGAAGGATAAAAACGCAATCTGTAATCCCATTGGTCTGCCAGTTATCTTTCGACCAATAGAATTATAGAACGGTAAATTTATCTTGCAGATAGTTACCAGCAAGTTTATCTGAAAATGAATAAACTGGGTCTAATTGTCAAAATGATGTCACTCCTATAACTCACTGCTAATAGATGGCGCCACGGCCCTGGCGTGCGGAGCTGAAGTAGAGTTGTAGTAGCGTTTTTACCACGTGACCAAAGTGCTTGTGAGAGTAGATTTGGATTGGTGAAACCGGCCATTGTGCATGTGCATTTGGAGTTTCCTAACCTAACCTAACCCTAACAGCTGACAAATTACTACTAAAAATAAACGTCTTTCTACGTATTTTCTAAGTTTTCTATTACTTTTGTTATTGGCCACGCTACATACAAATGAAATATTTCTTTGTTGATTGTCGAATAGTCGATTGTCGCAAACAAAAAAATAGGATACACCAAATCACGAAAACGAACACACTGCGCCTGCCCACTCTGGCGCTTGCTAATGACGAGGTGGTGCTTTCAGAGTCAGCTCTTTGTTCCTGAACGGACGTGGAGCTGCTCTTTAGCTCAATACACGAACGCATGGTAATGCTTAGTGCACTTGGAGTTTATAGAACAGTCATCCCGAACCCACCGTAAATAATAATAACAGAACTACTCAAAATACAGACACACGCAAAACAAATATGGAAATTTGTGAATAAATCTAGCCCCACTGTCAGAACAGAAATTAATAGTTCGAAAATCGTCCCGACTACTCGCGACCACAGAGTTATACAGTGCGGCCGCCAAGTAAGGAATAAATTCAATAATTATTCTTCTAAGCATTTTTTTTAAACCCTTGTACAATTTTTTTCAAATCTTCGAACACGTCAATTTTATTTTTTAGAAACTTAAATTATTATACAGGGTGGTCGCAGAAAAGCTGGACAAGTAGTACCTAACTTAATTTTTTTTACAATTTCGGATTTCTGATAAAATTCTGAATATTTTTCATAAAACATGTCCTATACCTAAATTCATCTGTTTTGGAAATATTGATAGTTGAAAATTGACATTTTTGCAACTTTGACAGGCGGTAAAACCTAAACGGTTAATTTTAGAGGAAAACCGATTTCAGATTCTTGTCTTAGATTTGTAGGTATAAACTATCATTTGACACCAACTTTGAATTTACCCGGAGATTAAATTTTTGATCATGGATTTCTCTTGCATTGAGAGCTTAGTCTTTTTCCACATAATTATGAAAGTCAGGATGCTCTTTGATGGAGGACACCGTTGGAATCCAGATACAGGGTCGGTAAAATTGTGACAAAGTTGCTCAATTTAATGCCTGATAAAATAATGTTTCGAAATTCCAAAAATTATGAATAGATACTCTTCCGGAAATTGCGATTTTCGTTTCTATTTTTCCCTGGCTTGATTTTTAGAGATAGGCAGAAAGCAAAATAACTTTCTTGGGCTTTATTGTGGTGACTATTTTAAAATTTCACTTTTAAGGCCCATCATCAACCAAAGATAGATACAAAAAATTTAAGTTGTAAATTCTAAAAAAGAATAATTTTGAACACTTCTAAAAACCTTTTTGTGAAACTTTGAAAAATAGTCATTTAATGACTGAGTTAACGCTTTAATTTCTCATTCGGATAAATTCTGAAAAAAATATTTATTTAATGTTATCATATTTTATTTTTAGGGTGGAGAGTTTGATAGATACATCCCTAGAAGAAGTTCTAGCGATTTGGCCCATTTAAATTTGACGAATAATTCCTCAGATGATGATCTGTTGAATGTAGAATTCGACGATGAGAAAAACGGCTACCCACACCCGATATTTGCAAATACAGCGAAGAGAGCAAATAATATGATTTCCTATAAAAATAGGTAAGTGTACTGTAAATCATAGATAAAAGTCATAGTGCGGTATTTTGCTCCTTATCAAATTGAACACTGTGGATACCTATTATCCAGTGTACCTATAACACAAAAAAAAAAAAAACAATTTTCTTTTCACAAAAAATGGCTGTTGTTTTTTTATGAAAGTGGCTAGATTTGGACTGGACGCAATAATAATTAACCCTAAATTCAGAAAATATCCATTTATCATGTTTCGGAACTCGGATTGTAATTAATAAACTAATACATCACAAAGCACACATGATACATGGAAGAAGTATAGACGCATCACAATCAAAAAAGACATAAGTTAACAAAACTTGTCAAAATCTCCAAATTCAAAATTGCAAGGCCAATCAAACTATGTTGAAAAAGATGCAAGTTTCTATTTGGAATAAGAAAGTTAGTGCTCACATTTGATACACCTTGTATAGTTGGAGATCTGGATGTCGGAACGATTAATTATGACTAAAAACCAAATTTGACGAAGTTCCTAATCCACCTGCAAGCTCAAAAACTTCCAATGCACGGGCTACGTAAATCACCCATGTGACAACAAAATCCAATATATTTTTTTATTAGTTTGATAATGACGTTTCTCCAGTAAGTACCGATAGTGTAACATTTTTTTTTCTCTTCAAGTTTTGTAATTTTTACAGGAAATTATGTGACACTCAGTCACTGGAAAATTTACATGTCTTTCACCAATACATGTACCTATAGGCATTTAGTTTTTGGATTCGCATTTTCGATCATTTAATGACACATTTGCCACAATACGTCGCGCTTAGCTTTATTAAGACGTACAAAGTTTAAATGATGAAATCATATCTATATTTGGTGACCTTTAATCCGAATTTGCTTCGCTCATGAGATACAGGGTTTCAAACCATCAACATGCCTAATTATTCCACTGAATTTTTGAAATAAGTAATTGGAAAAATCAAAGCTTTTGAAATATCTGTAACTACGTAAAAGACCGCAACCTATTACACTCAAAATAACCAATTTTTAAGTTCTGTTTGAAAAAAGAAAAAAAAAATACTTTCATATTATTGATAACTTGTGTTCAATAATAGTTATGGTCAGGTCGGCGAATGACGTTTTTTGTGACACTAAAAACGTAATGTGTTTGCGATACCCTTATTTGGCAATCCTCCACTTTCTAACTTCTTGCATCTTTTTCGAGTTTCAGTGCATTTTTACAAATCAAAATCAGTTCTTTTCAGAATCTACAACTGCTTTCTCTGATGTGTTTTCTGGTGACTCTGTTTTCGTTGGCCTTGGGCTCTTCTTTTCTGAATTTTTTATATGATCCCCGCAATGGTTTTTACACTCGAACAAACACAGTATATGGTGGAATCCTATTTGTGTAATGGCAAAAAAGTTAATGGCGTTTGGACTTATTCAATTCAATCCGTTCTTGATTACTATCTGGAACCCATGATTTTGTGGACCATAAAAAATTTCACGAAGCTTTTCAGAGATATGTGCAATTTTTCCGGGAAACGGAAAGCGTGGCACGTAAAAGTGGCAGTGGTCGTCCATCATCAGCTCGTACCCCAGAAACCATTGAGCGAGTAAGGGAGGTGATGGACAATCAACAAAAAATGTCAGTTCGCCATATCCTCCAAGAAGTGGAACTATCCTTGGGGACATGTCATACCATTTTTTTTAAATCCAGAACTTCATGCCTATAGGATGACAGCAGTTCAAGAGCTGACACCTCCAGATCTTTCCGTGATGCGAATTCTTCATTGCAGTTCATGGATAATCAGTACGATAATCCACATCTTCCAGCATAAACATTTTTGACCGATGAAGACTCGTTTCACAAACCTGGCTACATACACTCAAAGAATATGGGGATATGGAGCGCCGAAAATTCTCATGCGATACTTGAAAGACTTGACAAAGTAGGTGTCTGGATATTTAGGGCAAGAAGAATAATTGAACCCATATTTTTTAAATGTTAAATTTTTTAAAATTAGTTATTATTGTTCTTCAATTTTTTTGGTCGATATCATAAAAAAAATCTGTGTAGATTTTAAGGAAACATCAATGAAGATATCCAACCATTTTTCGAAGAATTGCATGATGAACCTCAGCGAGGCTACTTCCAGCAAAATAGAGCAACATCCAACATCTCAATTGCATACATGAGGCTTTAGATCTGCTTCACGAATATTATGATGGTCGGGTCATGAGCAGAAATATAGACATCTTCTCTCAGATCGCGCGATTGATTCTCATGCGACTTTTTCTTGTAGCCACATCTTAAAATTTCAATATTTTCCACGACTGTCAACGATTTAGATGAGCTTCAAGCCATCAAGTAACAAATCAGAATCCAATCCTAAAATTATTGAAAATTTGTCCAAAGGTCTGTTCTTACAGAAATCACAAACCCATCAGAGCGAATTTCATTGGTTGAAAACAGTCAGGAAAATGCGGTTGTTGGCAATTTGCATCGATTAAAAACGACTGGTTTGTCATTGCTGTGAAAACAGACCTCAGGGGGTAGACATGTTCAACATCTCATTGATTCACCATTTTCTTTAGTTTGACTGATCTATAAATCCAAGAAATAAGATGACATTTAGTGACAGTTGCCATCAAACCATAAGAACCTGTCAACCTAGGTTTATGATTGTAAAAGGGAACCTCAGCCAACTACTACGACCATAACAATTATTGAACATCCATCATAATATTTAATAAAATCAAGGCAAAGTTAATATAACATAACATACTTAAAAAAGACAAAAAAATTGGCGACAAACATTTAAATAGACTACTATTGTTAAAATCTACCAAGAAATCCTCCCCTACATACCCTGTCAAAAAAAAGGAAATAAATAATTACTAAGTTCACGACAACGACCATCTATTGGTTATTATACAGTGTGTTCCGCTTAAGAACTGACCACCTTTCTAAACTTTTATTTTTTAACCGATTCAATTAATTTTTTTTGTCTTATATCTACTCGAATTTGGCACTTATTGGGCTCATAATCTTATTTCTGCGGCTGTACTGGTGTACAGGGTGTCCACATTTATAGGCTCAAATTTCAATAAGTACTATTAGAGATTTTTTTAGAAAAAATCTGATAGCAGATTCTTGTTTAGAATGGTCTAAAACCCAAATGTACTAATTTTTGTTTCAATACGATACAGGGTGATGACAACAAACTTTCACAATTTAATGAATCAAACCGCAAAAATGTATATATATATATATATATATATATATATATATATATACCTTAAATTTTTATCTGCAAAATAAAAGTGACAACGCAGGTGACTTTAATTTTAACTTGGCTAGCGTGGACGATATTGAACGGGCATTGATCTCCATAAAATCTGAGGCCATTGGTACGGATGGTATTGGAATTAAAATGCTCTGTCACTGTTGTCCACATATCCTACCAATTATTTTACATCTGGTCAATAGCTGTATAGAAACCCATACGTTTCCTGATCTATGGAAAAAATCTATTTTGCTCCCGATTCCAAAGGTTTCAAACCCTAGCGAACTGAAAGACCTTCGGCCCATAAGCATCTTGCCAACTATGTCAAAGATCCTCGAAAGAGTCCTAGATGCTCAGATACATAAGTACATTGAAACCCATAAGCTGCTACCACCCATACAGTCAGGATTTCGCAAGGATCACAGCTGTACCACTGCTCTCTTAAAAGTGACCGACGACATCTTGGAGGCAACAGACCGTGGTGAACTTACTGTACTTGTTTTGTTAGACTACTCCAAAGCATTTGACAAGTTGAATCATCAGTTACTTTTAGCTACTCTAAAATATCTAGGTTTTAGCAGTGATGCCTGTCTTATGATAAAGAGTTATCTCACGGGACGCCTACAGTCTGTGAAACTGAATGGACAAGATTCCAAGCCAATAAAAAATAGTAGTGGCGTTCCACAAGGGTCGATCTTGGGGCCTCTTTTGTTCAGTATCTATACATCCCAGCTTTGTACCTACCTTAGATATTCAAAATTACATCTTTACGCTGACGATTCGCAAATATATCTGAGTTTTAGGCCAGAGCAAATTTTGGAGGGGAACAATAAACTTAATGAGGATCTTGGACTCTTGGTGAATGCCTCCGGAAAACACTGTTTGGAATTGAACCCCAAAAAATGCCAGATGCTTGTGTTTGGGCGAAAATCTATAAGAAATCAATATTCAAACCACTTCAACATTTTTGTAGGTACAGAGAAAATAGAAAACTCCGATAATGCCAGGAACTTGGGTCTAGTAATGGACGTAGACTTAAGATTTACAACACATTTAAATCATTGCATCAAAAAGGCGTTTACCAATCTAAAACTTATATATAGCCAACGCCATTTATTAAATATGGAACTAAAAAAACTTTTGTGCGACAGCTTAGTTCTGTCACAATTCACATTTTGCGACGTAGTATATGGCCCATGTCTCCTTGAATATGATGCGAAACGTATACAGCGTATTCAGAACCACTGTGTCCGGCTTGTTGGTGGTATAAGAAAGTATGATAGGGGTATGACTGCGAAAATGAAAGAAATTGGGTGGCTTTCCATGAAAGAGAGAAGACTGCTTCATAGTCTAGTATTATTCAACAAAATAATCTTTAAAAAATGTCCAAACTATTTATACCAAAAGATAAAGTTCAGGTACGATGCTCATAACCTGGATTTAAGGCATAAACAAAAAATATCCCCGCCTTTGCATAAAACGGAACAATATAAGGGATCATTTAGTTACCAGGTCTATAGTTGTTACAATAAAGTTCCAGATAGTTTGAAGGGACGTGATAGCTTGAAATTTAAAAATGAAATTTGTAGGATCATCTCATTATTCCTATGAATAATTATTGTACTCATTGGTTTATTTATTTGTTTTTTACTGCAGATACAGAATATGTTCTTTCGATCTTATAATATGTATATTAACATCATTTTAATATTATTGAAAATTATGTACCTCATGCTTAAATGTCTTTAATAGACGTTGCCACAACAAGTTTGGGTTAGGTTAATTTAGCTTAGGAATAATAGGTTAAGATAGGAAGCTAAGCTTCAACTTCGCCTTTTGTAATATTACATAGTATTGCAATAAAGTCATTATTATTATTATTATTATTATTATTATTATTATATTTTGCGACAAGTTTAATACAAGTTTTGGTTAAGGATGTTCTAAAACTATGTTGTATCAAGTTTTGTTGTTCTCAATGCCTCAAAATATGCCATTTTTCCGGTTTGGTCCATTAAATTTTGAAAATTTGTTGTGATCACCCTGTATCATATTGAAACAAAAATTAGTACATTTGGGTTATAGACCATTTTAAACAAGAATCTGCTATCAGATTTTTTCTAAAAAAATTCCTAATAGTACTTATTGAAATTTGAGCCTATAAATGTGGACACCCTGTACACCAGTACAGCCGCAGAAATAAAATGATGAGCCTAATAAGTGCCAAATTCGAGTAGATATAAGACAAAAAAGGAATGAATTGAATCGGTTGAAAAATAAAAATTTTAGAAGGGTGCTCAGTCCTTAAGCGGGACACACTGTAAATAGAAGTCGATGGCTTCGACCAAAGGCCGCAGAGCTCTACTGCTGTGTGTACCAAATGCGCGTGCTACCAGTCGAACTGCGACTGAACTTATTGTGGGTTAGCAATTATAGCGGAGTTTGTTATCACTTCCCAATTATAGTCAAAAAACCTAATGTTGAAAATTTGGAGAAGACAAAATTTATCAGAAACTATACTTTTCTTTTATTGCATAAGGATGTTTTAATGCGCCATTTGCTCACCTTCCAACGTGGGTGCAGTTAATTGAAGCATATCCAAAACTAATCTTAGAAATAATTTTAGAATCTTTTATAGTGAAGATTAGCTCCAAATGATTCTCTGCATATTTAACCATCAATTGAAAAGCGCGCCTTATCTAATAAGAAATGATGATCAACCCAAATAGTAAATAAACATATATCTTCTTATAGTCGAGTTGTGTTGCTCGTCGAAGAATCAGGAAAATCAAACCAGAGTACTTCAAGCAAAGCGCTCTGTTAACATTATTAGATATATTTGCTCGAAGTACTCGAGTTTGATTACCCTGATATATCGTTTTGCAAATATACATAGTTTCAAAAACATGATTCCAAACCAATATTATCAAATTGCAGAATTTTAGGGGCCTTGGGTATCACTAGTTCGAGCATATTCAAGCCTTCCAACAAAAGAGAGTACATAACTAATAACATAGAGGCTCGTTCATGGCCAGTTAAAAGTAGAAAAATGCCTTTAATAAAAGCACCCGAAACGTTACTGGATATGCCTGGTGCCGAAGGATTTGACAATGTCATAAGTATGTTGATAAAACTTACTTCTAACGGAAAACAATATATGATAATTTTAATCTTTTCAGTTCGCCATATGATAGATTGGAGTTCTAAAGGAATAATTGCTACAATTTTTCGAGAAGAAGTTCATCTGTGGTCAGAAGGCTTAGGACAGCTTGGACAAACCAACACAAATCGAACAGTTGCTAATTGTGTCAAATGGAACAAATCGGGCAGTAAATTTGCTGTGGCAAGAACGAGCTCAAAAGTCAGTATTATAGATGGGGCAACTTTGAAAGTAAGTAGGTATATTCCCTTATGACTATTGAATGAAGCTAAATGAGCAGCTGCGTAGTGGCGACTGCTTTACAATTCGAAGTATGTTCTCAACTTTACCTACGCTACAACTACTTAGTAGTGCAAATGGTGAACAGTGAACATTAAACTGCCTTCCATCTATTGAGTTGCATTTTACAATTAAACAATGTATGTACCTAAACCAAACTAACCTACAGCCATCCAAACTTATCAAAAGCCGCAGTCAGTGATTTTTCTGTGATGGCTTTGAATTATTATACTTTCAGGTTCGTATAATTTCTACTAAATTAGTGGTTTTTTAGGCAGAAAATATGAAAAAAAAATATATATGTTATGGTGAATATGCAAACTTGGCTAGTTTGTAAACTAGCTGGATAGTTTACAAACTAACCAACCTACTGGCTATTATGATAGAAAACACAATTTTCACCAAAATAGCAGCTAGTTTGCAAACTAACCAAGAGTCTTGGCTAATTTACTTGAAATTATTGAAAAAACTAAAATAGCTGGTTAGTTTATAAACTATCCAATGCAGCCTGGCTAATATGAAAACATATTTTCTAGTAACACAAAATAGCCAAACCTTTGGCTAGTTTATAAACTAGCCAACCAATTTTCTGGCTAATTTACAAATAAAGTTAGGTTAAAAAATTCGACGCTTCTTTAATAGATCTGTATAATAATAAAGCAAGTAATTTCTAACGAATGAAATCTGGCAAAATATATTAGCTTGTATGGACGATTTGTTTGATAATAATTGAGAATCTTACCAATTAACTGGGCACGGCGGAAGACAGGTTACAACAAAGCTAATGAATATTCAAATATTACCCAAAAAAATTGTAACTTTGTTCCTCGATGGATGTGAGAATTGCCAGTTAAAAAAGAACAAAGCAAAATTTTGCATTCTATTCATCTAACTATCGAATAAGAAATATCATGAACATTAAACTTTATTTGTAAATTAGCCAGAAAATTGGTTGGTTAGTTTACAAACTAGCCAAAGGTTTGGCTATTTTGTGTTACTAGAAATCATGGTTTTCAAATTAGCCAGTCTGCATTGGATAGTTTATAAACTAACCAGCTAATTTAGTTTTCTCAATAATTTCAAGTAAATTAGCCAAGACTTTTGGTTAGTTTGCAAACTAGCTGCTATTTTAGTAACAATTGCGTTTTCTATCAAAATAGCCAAGAAGTTGGATAGTTTGTAAACTATCCAGCTAGTTTACAAACTAGCCAAGTTTGCATATTAACCGTAACATATATATATATTCTATCAAATATTTCACTCAAAATACAAAATCTAAAGTTTTTTAAGCTGCCAAACAATTTCTTTTGTTTAAATGTTTTTTTTGTTTTTTTTTTCTGATGAATGAATGAAAAAAAAGTGCCTTAGTGGCTGATTGTACCCCATGGTGGGGTACAATCGGCCAACACAAGGGGCAGTTCCGTGCGCAAGACTCATTCATACAAAAAACATATTTCTCATGAAATAAAAAAATGTTTAGCAAAACATTTTTCTACTTAGTCAACGTTAATTCCTTTAAAATTATAATAAAATGTCAAGTTTGAATGTCTGCGAGATTTACGGTATACATACTACAATGCCATCATAGTAAATGGATGCTGTTGTAATCGAAAATCTGACTAATATGTGTTGGTATCTGACATCTATTAATGTTAACTTCATCGTCTTCTTGAATATACTGAAAACTCTTGCGTCATCGCTGCCATCTAAATGAATATCATTTTCTGAATCGTAACTTGAGCTGTCATCAAAAACTTTTTTTTTCTGAATTTTTGCTTTCTATATTTCCGTTGTAGTAACCGGTAAATTATCATTCTTGCCTTCAGTTTAGGTACCATTTTTCTTTTCGGCTCTCGGCTTTCATTTTTTTCCTTTAAAACATCTTTTCATTTTGTAGTTCCTCAAGTCTTTGCTTTTCTGGTGTTCCGCATAAATTCTAGACTTTCTACTATACTACACGAAACCAGTAAAAAATGACAAACACTCAGATTCAAAAAACTTAGCTTGACCTCAAAAAAATACCTACACATTTTGTATAAAAAATTTGCGGAGCTCGCGTGTTTCACATAATAAAAACTAGAAAGAGTGAAGCAAGGATGTCAACATTTTTGGTGGTATTTCGTGCAAAATTTCTTATTTTATTTGCCACGGCTGAAACTTCCCTACGGCCGAACGTGCCCCACTCTCCCCTATAGCAGTAAATAGAAAGTTGGTAACATCATTTATTTTCAGTAAAGGCTTACTAAATAAGGTATATTTGACTGTAATCTTACCAAATAAAATTTGATCCAAATATGCATTTTCTTTTTGTCTCCTATTTTAGGTACAAAAAACAGTGACCTGTAAATGCGGAGAAGGTTGTGAAATATCAGGCATTGCATGGACCAATAATGATCAGATGATTGGGGTATGCTGGTTGGGCTCTATAAGCATTTTAGATGTGGCTTCCGGTCTATTCAAGTGTTACCATACTTTTTGTAGATCGGAAATTTTTGATATTCAGCTTTCCTGCAACGACAAATACTTTTTCCTGTTATCTACCACAAAGAATAAAGTTAATGTTTTTGATCGGTCAATTGCATTCACTTTCAATCAGTCCCATAAAACCTTTACGTGCCGAGAATTTTCAGGAGAGGTAAGGTTCAATAGGTACATATGATATGTGAGTAGGTATATGTTACAGACCATTTATGTGAATCAGGTTGTATACAAAAGGACTAATCGATATGTCAATGAAATGAAGATATTAGTCCATTTGTGTGAGAAGCTTGTGAAACGGTTAGTCTATAGATACGGGCTATCTTGAACTATATATGACATTTTCAGACAGAATGTCAGGTTGTTTTATTTCTTTCAACAATTTAATTGAATAAGTATGACGTTCAGAAATACATAATATATTCAATCTTACAATAAAATTTTCCAAAACCTTTCCCTTGTCCAGTGAATTAAGCTGTAAAGCCATCGATCTATGAACGACTTCCTTCCTTGGCTTTGGAGACTTCTTCAACTGTCAAAATGCTGGCAGGTACTAGATTCTGTCTCGCTCGCAAGCTGTAAAAGCCATCTTCTGTGGCTTCTTGGGCTACTGCTAGAACTGACCGAGCATCTCCCCTGACACGATCAACATCTGGAACCAGTACGAATAGTAGGTACTTCATATGTAACACTATTATTGGCGTCTAAGGGAAAATTTCAAGGTTCCAATCCAATTTTTGGTTTGCCTGGACATGACTTCCTATGAAGACCTTTATATTAGGTACAGAGAGCAGAAGAATATTCCTCATAAATTGTATGCAGCTTAGACCATGTCTCCAATGCTCTGTTTCATTTTGCAACATCCAGGAAGTTTTCCATATCTTGGTTACTTCATTCGACACTACCCTGGCTAGCTGTGGCGTGGTTTTTCGTGTCTAATCTTTATTTCGGACAACAAAGTTATTTATCCTTCATAACCCTATTCCAAGATTCGAGGCCATTTTCAGATTGCAAAACCTCAAGGGTCCAAAAATGGTGAAAATATTCACAAGTTTGTGAGGGAATTCTTCTGAAGGTTTTAGAATAACAAATTTTGTAGAGTGATCGGGATATGCAAGGACAAATCTGTATTTAGCATCAGCTTGAGATTGATGATCTATCAAAACTACTTGAGAGCGTGAATTCAAATCGTTGGAAAGTATGGGTTTTGATACGATTCCCTTCTTTTTGCTTTTCTGCGTCATTTGACATGGCGCTCACAGGTTAATAAAGAATAAAATTCGGGTAGGTAATATATTCATGTATTTTTTATTATTTTTGTCGTTCTATTTATTATGTGATCCCTACCTTCATGACCTACAAGTAAAAAAGAATGACGCGATCCAATACCTATTCCATATTTTCTCAAAACTACCTTGATATACCTACCTGTATATGCTGTTACCTCTTGAAGAATGTTTAACAATTAATGGTCATGGACGTTATTTATCACATCAACAATAAGTCATTATCAAATTTTCCAAACCATAATCAGATAATACATCATAGTTCTTTTAGGAGTGAATGGACTTCTCTTATGTTACTAATAACTACACGAATTAATCTTTCTTTTTGTAATTCCTTTCCTGAAATCTATCGCCATTGAACAATGAAACCACTTGAATATTAAAGGATGTTACAACTGCGTTTATTTTAATTCACAATACTTTGTCAATAACGGCAAAACGTTGCACAAATTTAAACATCACCAAGACACGCTGCGAATCAACATACAATCTAAATCGCAATAATAGTCCGTTTGTTAAGGGTCTAGTCCGTAGATGGAATAAAATGGTATTTCTATAGAGTCTGCGCCATTTGAGTAATGCAGGTATAGATAGGAGCATATACAAACGATCTGATTTCATAATATGTGGCCTGTAACATATACATGTTAGTAGTAAAATGTCTCTGAATGTATAGGAAAATCTTTTTATTTTCCAAATTAATTTCAAATTTCATTAGTTTATTCAAAAAAAAGTTGTATCCTGTATATTTATTCATATTTTCTAGTGCGCTACCTGGCATCCTTGGCAAGAATCTACATTAATAATTGCTAACAAATCCTGTGATGTAACTCAATTGAATATGAATAATTTTTCACATGAATCCGTAGTTCTTCGGCCATACTTCAAGAGTCCGGATAACTGCATTTTAGATTTCCTCACATTTAATCCTAGATCAGCTGAATTATTGGTGAGCATTCCTAATATAATAAGATTTCAACTATTTTTTTTGTATTCAGGGGCGTAGCTATGGTAGGGCAAACCGGTGCAATGACTGGGGGCCCCGCACACCTACGGGCCCCGAAGCACCGTCACATATTTATAACGTATATCTAAAAAGCCAGCAAACAGACAAAACTAATATCAAAACGAGAGCGAAAATCCAAATGTTTTTGTTGTCATCGAGTTACAAGGGGCCCCATTGTTTTG